ACTCGTTTCGTACGTTTACAGGAGTTCGAATTGCACTTTGGTTCACTCTTCCAGTACGAAACGATTCACTTCGGTTCCCCAGGCCGAGCTTAAACGCTCGCACAATAAGCCGAACTCCTCAGATTCGCACCATAAGCCGAGTTCACAACACTCGCAAAACGTAAGCCGAATTATCGCAATTCGCTATCGAAAGATAAAAACTATGTTCGAACATCATCTGGTATATTCCGGTCTAGTACTTGAAAGATTTTTCTAAGTTACCGACGAAAGAAAAGTCGAAAATTCAAACTAGTTGCCGATGTGCTACTTGAAAACTTCTTCTAAATCACCAAGATAGGAAAAAAGGAAGTAAAAACGAGCATATAAATTAAGAGCCTCCCGAGAGGCAAATAAGTTCAAAAGCCCACCAAGGGCTCGGAAATAAAAGTATTACAAGCAAAATAACCCATGAAAGGGCAAATAAGTTCGAGAGTTAGAAAGAACAGAAAAAGATTAAGCGGTCTTCGAGGTCGCGGCTTGATCGGCGTTGAGCATATCCTCGTTCGAACCAAACTGTTCGCCTACCATTGGATCCTGAGCACTTTGGGTCACATTCGCGACTGGCACGTCATCCTCCTCAGCGAAGGGAGACAATCCGCTTGTCCTCTTCAGTAAGGACGCAAACGTCGATCGAACGGAACTCCTCCAGGGCCTTGGTGTGCTTTGCTTCGATGTCCGCTACCATCTCGGGCGGAACCTCGTACAAGCCCTTCTTTTTGAGCTGCTTGATAAAACCGAGGACTCCGGTGAGCTGATTGTAGACTAGGTACGGTTTAAGAGCTCGGTCAGCATCATCCAAGCTTCGGATGACCTTCTCTAAACGCTCGCAGGCCTTTGCGTGAACGCCCTTGGCCCGAGCCTTCCAATGTGCCACCATGTCCTGCAGTCGCCCCTTGTCCTTCTCGAATTCCCTAGAAAGTAGGCTTTGAGCCTCGGTCAGCTCAGCTTTCACTGCCTTCAGCTCCGCGCTCTCCTGTTTTAGCAGCTCCACCGAAGAGTGCAGAGTTTCATTGATTTGGAGCTCGGTGGCAAGACGCTCCTCTGTTTTCCTAACCCTTTCCTCGAGCTCGGTGACCCTCACTTGCTCGTCAAAAAGAGCCACTTCGTAAGCGGCGACCATATTGTTGGTTTGACTAGCGAGCTGCGAAAGGGAAATCTCGAATCAGTGCTCACACTTAAGATAATTAAATAAAGGAGTGAAGCCAGAAAATTACCACAGCAGTTGTACGTGCGATTCCCTTGTACATGTTAGGGAACCGGAGCTCAGGGACCGATGGGAGACTCGGGACCTCGATCGAGATTTTATGGTACAAGTCGGCACAGGCATCGACATTCTCCTCGAAGGGGGTTTCTTCGTCGTAGTCGAAGAAAACCTTAGCCCGTTTAACTGGCTCTGAACCTGGAGATCCTTCGGTCTGATCCCTTTCCTGTCTTTTTCTGGACCGAGAGGCTTCGGCTCGATCCTGAGGTAATGCAAGATCCAACATTACGGTTGTCGGTGGCTCGGCTTCAGCAGGAGCATCCTGTGCTCGGGAGGAGTCTTCAGCTCTCTTAGTCTTCTTCGAAGACTTTTTCTTTTTCAGCATTCTCTGACCAGCATGATCACGGGAGTTCGCAGCAAGCGGCGGATCCTCAGGTTGTACCTGGACCACTTCGGTAGCAGCAACAGGGTTCGGAGTCACTTCAGTCGGTTCTTCCTCGCCAAAAAGAGTGGGGATTTCGTCCAAGGAAAACATTCTGGCAGCCCGGGATCGTTTAGCTTGTGGCTTCGGTGCCTTGCGTCTTGGAGGGGCTCGTGGCTTACTTGCTCGAGCTTTTGGCTTGCGCGGTTTCGGTTCTCGAACAGAACCTGTAATAAAGATATGTCAAGAAGGAGTTCAGAGTAAACTCAGGATAAAACAAACAACACCGAGTTCGATAGTCAAACCTGCTTTCTTAGCTCGACGATTAAGAATTTCCTCCCAAACTTCGGGCCAGCGATGCTTACCGGCTTCGCTGAAAGCTGCTTCGAATTCGGAGGTGAGTCCGGAATTGAGGATGATACTTGGGAGATGACGACCTGCAAAGATCCGAAAAAGAGTCAGTGAGATACGAAATCAAAAATTAATAGTAGTACAAGCTCGTCTAGATCTACCAATCGGAATCTTCCACTCTGATTGATTTGGGATGTCAGAATTGCTGACGGTGAGATCGTTCATCTCGAGAAAGAAATACAAAGATTCCCAATCGTTGAATTTACTGGGTTTAGGCCCAGTAACTATATTCTTCTTCGGTTTGGCGTTCGCAGCAAAGAACCACTCATTGGATTTGTGGATGTTCACCGAGAAGAGGTCTTCAAAACGTCGGCTAGATGGAATCTGGCCGAGCTCGTCGCATAGAGATACGAACCCTACGTAGTTCGTTATCGAAGCCGGCATCACCTGCGTGAGAGCCACTCCACGCCGATTACAGTACCCGAGGAGACGAGAAAGGATTGGAAACGAGAGTCCGCATTGCGTGAAATAGGTTAGGTATACGCAAAAGAAGCCCTCGGGGACGTCCCACGGCCGATCTCCAGCTTCTGGAATTATGAAGATGACTCGATCCGCGAGTCCACTTTCTTCGAGCACGGCACGAACAGCACCAGGAGAGGCAGAGGAAGATGGCACGTTGGGGCGAACAACTTTGCGCCTCGGAAGTGGTGGCGAAGCGTGAATCACAGCATTGAGGTTATCCTCGGCAACTTCCGCCTCAGCAGCGCTCTCTTCCTGGTTTTCTTCTTCGAGCTCTTCGATTTTTTTGATCTCATGGACAACGTCGTCAGCGTTCGGTCCAATCCGAGCTCCCGTTTTGCGAGTCTCTATCGCCAAATGTTCGGTCGCTTCAACTCGTGGTCGAGAACGGCTACTGCTAGCACCAACTGATTTAGAATTTTTGCGAACTAATTGAGGAAGGTTGCTCTCTTCCTGTGACGAACTCAATTGTTGAGGGTTTGAAGAAGAGGAGCTCGGCTCCGAGGATTCACGGCGGTCTTCCGGAAGAATTTGGTTAGAAGAAGAATTAATCGAAGAACTAGAAGACATTTTTGAGTTTGGAAAAGTAGATTCGAAGGAGATTTGGGAGAAATGAAGAACAGCTTGAAGATCAATCGGAAAGATTGAAGGTTGATCGGGAAGTTTGAAGATCGATCGGAAAAATCAAGGGTTCGCGGCGGCGAGAGTTGAAGAAACGAGAGAAAACTACAAAAGAAAACTAGAGAGAGAAACAAAATCTAGAGATAAGGGAGAGCAGCGTACCTTATATATGCTGGAGTGAGAATAATGAATGCGAGAGGAGGTTTTTTCTCTTATAAACAGTGGGAATCGTGGGTTCCTCGATTTTCACGAAAATCCCGGAATTCACGCGCTTCATTGAAGACAGGCGCGAAACGTCCGGAAATGTGAATCGACAGCAGTTACCGAGCTTGGTTTGTGATCCAATAATCAAAGAAACAAGTTCGACTGAAAGTCACCTCCTTTCACCGAACTGAGGGAGGGCTAACTGTTGAAGGTAAAAACCACACCCCGGTTTTCTCCGGTACAAACCGAGATCGGCGTAACATAAGCTCGGTTTACGAAGGGATGTACCGGGAAAGATGGGCCGAGTGAAACATTGGGCCGAACACAGCCCATTAGGCCGAGGTCGGTGAGAAGTCTCTCGAAGGAATGGAGGGCTTCCCTGAGCTCGGTCGAAATAGGAAGGTTTCCTAACGGAAAAAGGAAACCTTAGATAAAAAAGGAAAGGAACCGAGAGAAAAGGAAAGTACTCTCGGTCTCATATCGTCTGAGGCGTGCTTGAAGACCGACTTAGAGGATATATATAAAGGGAGATGAATCGACACCAGAGAACATAAGATATTCCCGAGAAGACTTAAAGACTGAGAACTCACTACGCTAGCTTCTTAGTCGCCTTAAGTCTTAGTTCGTTATTGTCTACCTGAATAACCGAACTCAGTTGTATTTTACTTAATTCAATCTAATAAAAACCGAGTTTCCGATCTAAAAATACTGTTTGTCCCTTGTCGATATTTACATATCAACAGGGGGTGATTCCAAAGACATGATGCCTAGTCAGAATCAGATGAAAAAGTTTCTTGAGCTAGCACTGAGATGCTGCGAGTATAGGAATGAAGATAGGCCAAAGATGATCTTGATGGCAAAAAAGCTTAAGCGTATAGAAAAATCACTTCAATGACTTCATTATTTCATCAGCCAACCAAAACGTGACACGTTGGCAATAAGGATTGATCTTTATGGTCCCTAATTAGGGATGGATCCTTCAAATAAATGTCATTTTTGATTTTCTTTTGAGCCATTAAATCATTAGAAACCTAGTTAGAAACTCCTAATAAACATGGTCTTAAGTTCTCCCAAAAAAACTACAAATAAAAACAAGAGGCAAAATAAAAAATTTAACAACAACTTAAAAAGGAATCAATAGAGGGGATGCGTGAAGAGCAAACGGCGGGAAAGGGAAACTTTGAAGTCTAAAAACTCCAAAGATGCTGCAAATTTGGGTCTGAGTATGGTTGAATTTAAGATTGAGATCATGCTCATACTAGTGTTGTGTAATATACTAATATTGCTGAATTTCTTACCTTTGATTCTTTTAAGAATATGTATGTTTTTTCGAGTAAAACTTTCATTTCGACAAAAAAAAAATACCAAAGTATTTTATTACTCGTCGAAAGTATACTACAACCACAATTATTACAAATCAAATGCTGTTAAAAAGAAAAATCATTACCAAATCAAATCCCAAATCTTCGCAATCTGCGTCCTGCGTCCTGCCGTTGGTTTGTTGTAATTACTAATTAGGCAAGCTTTGGCCGGATAAACCTGACCCGACTGATCAGACCCGGACCGACCGACCTAACCCGACCCGACCGACCCGAAATTTCCGTTATAGCTGAGCCGAGCTGTTTTCAATGAATGAGTGCCTCTCTCTCTCTCTCTCTCTCTAAACTCTACACCGTCTTATCTCTCACTAAAAGTCCATGGAGACGACTTCTTCGTCTTCTTCGTCTTCTTTGTTAATTTTTCTTCCTTGAGTCCAACCTCATGAGCAAAAATCGTCCTCTCAGTTATTATTTTTTAATTCTTCTCTGCTTGTAGAAAAAAAAGGTTCCTACATCAAAAAATGGCAAAATCAGAGAAAGTCGAGTTAGCACAGACCTTAATCGAATCAGTAAACGAGATCGCTTCGGTTTCAGATCACCGCACACCGGCGATGAAGAAACACTGCGGCAATCTCTCCCGGCGGTTAAAGCTTCTTATTCCGATGTTCGAAGAGATCAGAGACTCTAAAGAGTCGTCTGACCCTGAAGAATTGGTGACGAAGGCTTTGTTTTCTCTTAAGGAATCACTTGCTCAAGCTAAGGATTTGCTTACTTTTGTAAGCCAAGTTAGCAAAATTTACCTGGTGTGTGAGTAATTTCTCGATCTCCCTTTTTTTATTTGAATTTTTCCTTCAAATTGGGATCTGTTTTTGGGGGGTTTTGTGATACTGATCCAATAGAGAACAAAAAACTCGTTTGTTTAATCGAAATTGAAATCGAATTGAAATTTCTCGTAGCAGTTTTATCATCTTTAGAGATTCTAATTGAAAAGTATATTTTGTTCATTTTGGAGATTTTTTACTATAAAAAGTTCTTGATGCCATTGTCGGGAATAGAGAAGCAAATATGTTTTCTTTTTGGGAATGTTTGTTTACTGATTCTTCAAACATTCTCTTTTTCTAATTGTGTCTTTGATTCTTTTGCTATTTTAGGTGTTGGAGAGAGACCAAGTCATGCTTAAATTTCAGAAAGTGACATCTCTATTAGAACAAGCTTTGAGTGAGATTCCTTATGAGAATCTTGAAATCTCAGATGAACTCCAAGAACAGGTAGAGAGAATTCGAGAGAGAGAGAGAGAGAGACATTCTCTTTGCTTTTGATTTGGTTTCTTACATCTTCTTGTTCTTGAGCAAGTGTTTCATTTTGTTTTCAGGTTGAGCTTGTTCTAATCCAGTTAAGAAGAGCAATAGGCAAAGGAGGAGATACGCACGACGATGAGTTACATAAAGATCTTCAATCTCTTTACGTTAGCTATGATGTAACAGACTCCGATATCCTCAGGAGAGTAGCTGAGAAGCTTCAACTAATGACCATTACAGACCTTACGCAAGAGTCGTTGGCTCTTCTTGAGATGGTTAGTTCCAGTGGAGGAGATCCCGGTGAAAGCTTTGAGAAGATGATGATGGTTCTCAAGAAAATCAAAGACTTTGTGCAAACCAATAACCCTAACTTGGACCAAGCTCCCATGGGACAAAAACCTCCACTTTCAAAGTCGCAAGACGGAAAACAGAACATCCCAATCCCGCCTGAAGATTTCCGTTGTCCGATTTCACTAGAACTGATGAATGATCCGGTTATTGTTTCTTCAGGGCAGGTACTGTATCAACATTGTCCCATTTCAGTGTCTTGTTGATGATCTCTTGTGACTCTCTCGTCTGAATCTTTTTTGTAGACATATGACCGTGACTGCATCAAGAAGTGGCTAGAAGGAGGACACTCTACGTGTCCAAAGACGCAAGAAACGCTTACAAGCGATACAGTCACACCAAACTACGCACTAAGAAGCCTTATAGATCAATGGTGTGAATCAAACGGCATCGAACCTCCAAAACGTCACAACAAGAGTAGTCAAGCCTCATCATCATCCTCCTTACTTCCTACCGATGAACAGAACAAGATTGAGCAACTCCTACGTAAGCTCACTTCTCAACTCCCCGAAGACCAAAGATCCGCCACAGAAGAAATCCGGCTTCTTGCGAAACAGAACAACCATAACCGAGTCGCCATCGCTGCATCAGGCGCGATTCCTCTTCTTGTGAATCTACTTACAGCATCCGACGATTCACGGACTCAAGAACACGCCGTGACATCGATACTTAACCTCTCGATATACCAAGAGAACAAAGGGAGGATTGTTTCCACGTTTGGAGCGGTTCCTGGTATTGTTCATGTGCTTCAGAAAGGCACCATGGAAGCTAGAGAAAACGCAGCAGCTACACTGTTCAGCCTCTCGGTTATAGACGAGAACAAAGTGACAATAGGCGCCTCAGGAGCGATCCCTCCTCTTGTGACTTTGCTTAGCGAAGGATCACGGAGAGGTAAAAAAGATGCAGCCACTGCTCTGTTCAACCTCTGCATATTTCAAGGGAACAAAGGAAAAGCGGTCAGAGCCGGTTTAGTTCCTGTGCTAATGCGGTTACTAAGAGAACCGGAAAGCGGTATGGTCGATGAAGCGCTTGCTATGTTAGCCATTGTATCGAGTCATCCTGAAGGGAAAATAGTGGTTGGAACGGCTAATGCGGTTGCGGTTATGGTTGATTACGTTAGAAGCGGGTCGCCGCGGAACAAGGAAAACGCGGCTGCGGTTTTAGTGCATTTGTGTTCATGGAATCAGCAGCATTTGATTGAAGCTGAGAAGTTAGGGGTTATGAGTTTGTTAATAGAAATGGCTGAGAATGGTACTGATAGAGGGAAACGCAAAGCGGCACAGTTACTTAACCGCTTTAGCCGTTTTAACGACCAGCAAAAACAGTCTGGCTTGGTTGTGGAAGATCAAATCTCTCTGATATGAGTTTAGGGCTTTAGGGTTTTGCTTTTACAGTTTACTGTTTTGTTAATCAAAGTACGTATCAAACTTATACCATAAGGACAAGATTTTGAAACCTGTACAATGGAATTTCTCTCTCTTAACTTTGAGAAAATAAATAAACTTAAATCTTAAAACTCTAAATTTACTGATGAATGATGATCATAATGTTGTTTCACGATTTCTTCCTAGTCGAGGTTATTGTCTTCAAACGAGGAATCAGTGAGGAAGATGATGAGATTTCTTTAATAATAACTCTGTACCAACTCTTTAATGGGTTTCGTTGAAGCATCATATAATCATATTTATAGGCTTCGCTGTTTCTTCAGCAACTTCTGTTCTTATTACACACTGTTTCCTGCTGTTTCAAAATCATTACAAAAGCTGGGAAATTTGATGCAATATATGATGCAGCCTGGAATTTAGATAATTTATCAAATATTTGTTCGTATTTTTATTTATAATTTTAATGTTCAGAGTTTTTATAGCTTTTGTGGTTCATATAAATAATAAGATAGTTTACTTATCCTTGAGAGCATTTGTCTCATTTTATTAGATTTATGATTATTTAAATGCTAGCTAGTATTTATGGTTTTTGTTTTGAGCAGTATTATAAAATTCGTCCTGGATGCTGCGTAATCGATGAGGGACTTGCCACCAAACCAAATTTCTGAATTCGTCGTCTACCTTTGATTAAAAAATGTCGTAAGTCCCTTAGATTAATGGTCAAGGGTTTAAAGGCTTTACAACAAATTTCGGGTTCTATTTACAGAAAATATAGTTTCTTACAGAATAAATCAAATACAAAACTCATCGAAAGTTTCTAAATATTACATAGAATTATTGGTTGTGGTCTTGTGTGCTACCACGTAATGACATATACTAACACGTAATTTGATCATCACTAAATTTGTAACAGAATTATTAGATGTATACCGAAATAAACTGTAGTTTTAGCATTTTACATTACAAATATCAAAAGGCCATTTATGAGGAAAATAAAAAGAGGTCAAAACTCCCTTTCAATATTAAAACTATTGTTGTCTTGTACCAAGACCGTTGAGGATGTTTTGCCTTCCTTTTGTATCCAACATTACATGTTTTCATTCCATCATGTAATGGCTTTGAGATTCCATTACTGGCTTAGTCACAAGTTTTTTAATATGTGAGAAAGATAAAACTCTTAATGTTTAAGTTTTTAGCTGAAAAAAAAATTAATTATATAATTCTAATAAATATTAATAATGCGAAAAAGAACTATTATCATATAAAGTATAATTAAGGTATTAAGTTTCTGACGTGAAAACTTAACTTTGTTATATAGAAAGGAGCATATTAAAACTGATGTACAGTAGAATTTAAAGTTAAGTTGTCGCCAAATTGTTGTGACAGTATGGAGCTGATTTTACAAAACAAATCTTGTATAAAATCCAAGATTTACATTATTCAAATTTAAAAGAAAAGGTTGTTTAATCTATGAACCAAAAAAGTAAAGGATTTTCATGGATGTACGGAATATTTATACTGAAAAGTAATAGATAAAAACGTGGTACGTACATGCATCTACATATGCACAGATCTTTATTAAGAAGTCTGACAAAGAAAAAAGGGAAAAGCTCCTAAAAATGTGAGAAACATAAGCTTTTTGGTAAATGGTAATTTAAAAACTTTGCTATCTATAGAAGACACGGAATTGTATGATTAAATTCGTCAGTCTGTAACATCCTTTTACTTTATAGATTATCCTATTGGTCCCATAAAATTATTTATAATATTAACTTTGTAAAAAATAAAAGTAATGAATGATAAAAATCTTAGTAATAATGCTGATTGGTTCTCACGTACTCAAGACTTGGAAACCAAACCCATAACCACAAAAATTCATCGTTCAGCAGAAAAAAAGCCAATAAAATATAATATAGAAATGTGTTAGTTATTATTTTTATGAGATTTGAAGAATACGAACTGAACAAATAAAACCACAAATTCGATAGACAGACACTCACACATCTAACAAGTTCATAATCACACAATACGATTACTTCTTTGTCACACCTGAATCTATATGTATCCAATTAATGACCATAAGTTGTATAACAAACCCATTCTAATATACCTTTTAGTTTCTCCATGCATTGACGATGTCTATCAATGATCCAACGGCTAAGAAAAAAATTCACATTAGGTGCTGCTGATGATCGTTGGAAGAAGAACCAGGGAGACCCAAACCGGTCCAATATTGATTGGATTGATTGCCCAAAGATGTCAAACCCGAAACCGGACGGCTTATAATATTACCCAAATGAGTTTCTTCCATTTTCACTGGAGCAGTTTGAGTAACCCTAGAAGCTGAGGAAGAAGATAATCCCATATTGTTTCCCATATAGCCCTCATTTGGGAGAGAATATAACCCCATGGTTCGATCGAACATAGCAAAGTGGCTCGCTGATCCAAGAGAAGTCATTATGTTGTTCTCATTGTTGTTGTTAGCCATGACCGGACCTGTAGTGTTAGCTCCATGAAAAAGCCCTAACTCATTCAAGAAGTTACCATTTCCACCATTATTTCCATTAATGGCAGCTAAGTTTAAACCGATACCACCGAGCTGAGTGAGGTTCTGTAGAGTGGGCAAAAACGGGAATTGGCTATTTGTTTGTAGCTGGACATTACTAGTAGTTGTAGGGCTTGGAGCGTTAACCATAGACGTTGACTGCTTGTTCTGAGAGGAGGAAGACTTTGAATTTCCGGTTTTACCCTTCTTGTTCCTCCGGCAGCCACCACCGACAGGGACGTTTCTCAAGGCGCCACCACGTGTCCAGTAGCGACGGCAAGCCTTGCAGAAGTGACGTGGTTGCGTGAGGTTGTAGTTGTTGAAGTAACAGAACTTGGTGTTGGCTGAGTCACATCGAGGGCATTTTAGGACTCCCTCAGGTGGCTGAGAGTTCTTAGCTAGCCTCGCTCTCTCAGCCACTGATCCATTGATATTGGCCGGATCAACGGTGGCGGCGGATGTGGTGTTAACATGGTGGTTAGGGTTAGGGTTTTGTGGGAAGTGGTTAGAGAGTACTTGGTGGCCACTAACTAAATTCCCACTTTCTTGTCGCTGAAGATGATGAGGATGATTAGGATGATTATTCGAATTCGCAGACTGCAAAGTGCAATTAAAACACACAAAAATGAATTCAATCACACAATACAAGAAAAAAGAACCAGAAACATCAGATTTAATCTTTGTTTGATTACTATTAATTTTGTTTTTGTACAAGAAACTACAATATGTATTTGGTTTATATATATATATATATATATATAGGTGAGATTATAAAGTAAATAAAATACCATGATATGTCTTGGAACATTGGGAAAAAAAGGAAGAGACTAAAGATGAGGAAGATGAGAATAGGAATATCTTTTACAAAAATGAATCAAAATTATTAATATAAGAATCAAAACAATCAATGGATTGAATTTAAAAGAGCTGAGAAACCACACAAAAAGAAAGAAAGAAAGTAAAGAAAGGAGATTAGTAATGGAAGATCAAAGAACCTGTGGCCAATTGATTGGTGGATCTAAAAAGCTTGAGACGGATGAGAAAACCATTGTTCGTATTCCCTTTTATCTCTTTGTTCTTCTTTCTTTAATAAAGTTTGATGGATCTTTAAAACTCAAAAGAACACAAATGGTGGGAGAATCAAAATAAAAACGAAAGAAGGGAACCAAAGGCTAAAGAGAGATTGTGAGGAGAGCACAGAACCAAAAGGGAAAGAGAAAAGATAGAAGTTTCGAGAGAAGAGGATGATAGAGAAGGAGCACAAAGATAAAGCGAGAACATAATGCTTTTTAAAACATGGGTCATGTTCTTATGCTTTATTGCTTTTTTATATAATTCACACTCTCATGCATTATTTCTATATGCATAATTTGTTGTATATATAATATGTATATTATTTTGTTGTGATTCCCTTTTTAGGGTTTGAGTGGGGGGACGTTTTTCTTCGCCTATAAGGCTCCCTCTGTAAATAATAACTAGATATGTATATATATATATATATACATATATATATAACTAGATATATATATATATATATAACTCATATGATTTACAACGTCGTAGTATGAAGAGAAAAGAGGGGTCTATAAGTTGGAATAAATAATCAAAGAAGTTCTAGAGACAACCAAAAAGACCTTACTTTGTAGGACTTTAAGTGTGTATAACTAAAATACTAAGTATTTCGGTTCTGTCTTATCACTAAGTAAAAAAGTTTGGGAAATTCAAGATAAATCTATTTAGTGGTAATAGGAATTTGGGATGAAGCTGTAAAATCCAATAGTTTATAATTCACTTTTTCACTTTGCAAATCATATATTTGGTCTTTCCAATAATTGAATATATAGTCTAGTGTTTTCTAGTTCGGGATGTCATATGTAGAAATCCAATTATTTTGTCTCACGGTTTGGTTCAGCAATTTCGAGCCAAAATATTTTTGTTATTTCGAAATTCTCAGATGGTAAAGAGAAGTGAACATCTTATGCCAGCTAAAAACTATACCATTTGAAAAAGATGAAAAAATGTGGATTTTTAGTGAACTAGTGGGTTAGTGATAAAAGCCTTTCTCTGTTCTATTTATGAATTTCTAATCGAGGACCCATGATATTTTAATGTATATGTGTACATGTACATGTGAAAGAGCGTAATTTGTGGCTTATATATACATATATATATATTATATGTTTGCCAGTAATTAAAATTTAATAGCCCTTTTTACAAAAAAAAAATAAATTTTGATGACTAGCCCCATATGTAAAGCAAAAAACCAGCTTTTTCTGTTTGGAACTTTTGGTGGGAACTTATCTCTAATGCAATGAAGAAAGATTATATAAATATGAATAATCGGCTCTGTTCTCTTATTTTTAGATTTTATTTAGAAATCGCAAAAATGAACCATGGTTTTACAAAAAGCAAATTTATCCTTATTTTTTATTTTTCTACAAAAGCATATCTGTCTATGTTTAAGTAATTAAAAAGGGAATATGAAGCCTGTAACTCGACCATAATAAAAAAAATAGTAATAACAGTCACATTAATTTAGTTTACAAAAAAACTTTGTTTTTGTTTAAAAAATGTAATTCATCAACCATTATTGAAACAAAAAATAATTCACCATTTGTATGACCAGATTTTCAGACTGATCCTCTGATAATTTTTCTAAGCTAGTTTTATGGGTTTTGATTTACATTGCATGAACACCTCGTATTCTAGTCTAGGCCAATAAAACGACAATGATAGACCCTTGCTAAACTATCAATTTCTGGTAAGTGTCACAATTATCATTTTTAGTTTATTGTTTATTGCAAATAATGCACTTGTATATAAATAAACATAGCAGTCGCCGACAAAAAAAAAACATAGCAGTCTTCTATTATCCAAGTAAAAATAATTATTTTCTTTGATACAGTTCATTCATAAAATTATATCTTCATTAGATTTGGCCGCACAGGCCAAAACAATTCTGAAAACTAAAATTTATAAATGCCTAAACATTTTTTAAGTAAAGTTAATATCCAAGCTATAATATTAATCTCGTTTCCTTTATATTTCAATATACAAACAATTTTTTGTAAAAGGAATGACTGAATCTTCGTATGGATATTAACTTTCTTCTGTATCAAAAGACGAAAGAAAGGGAAACGAAGCATTCAAAAAGATAAAACCTGTCATTTACAACTTCTATTTTATGCCTCAACTTTTACTTTCATTTTATACAAAAAGAGAGATCTTGCAATTTGTCTCTACATTTTATCCTCTCTTTTTCTTTTTCTCGGCTATCGATTACCTCTCATCTCTAATAATCAGTCGTTTGGTATATAAATGCTAAACATCTTTTTCAGAAAGAGACTACCAAAAATGGCGTATATGTTACATTATTACCCTACAAACAAATAATCTTAACGTTGATGCATGTCATCAGCAAACCTTTTTGGCTTTTCATATGCCCACTCATCTCTTATATGCTCTTATCCTTCTTCATTTTGTTTTTCCCATCTCTCTCTCTCTCTCTCTTAAATTTTTAATTAATTTGATTAATCCATCCAATATTTATAAAACACTCTTTTCTTTTTTGAAAAAACAAAGTACTTCTACATGAAATTTTTTATCCGGAAGTATCTGGTTTTTTTTTTGCTTAACGATGATTTAGCTAGCGTAACTATGAGAATTTCATTTTCTAATTTTGTTTTGTCCTAAGTCAATGCTTCAATTATGAACGTTAACTAATTTGTTGCTTTAGGAGATTTTTTTCTCGTCCAAACATTCTCTAGGGCAATAGTGGAAGTCTCGATTACAAATTCAATATGACTACGTTCCATATCACATATCGCTTTCCATTTTAATTGTGAAGATTTGTCATTATTTATCAATCATTAGCTGCCCACATAAATTTTCATTTTTACTTTTTATAGACCTCAAATGTGGTTATATATTTTTATATCAAACAAATATGGTTATAACTTGCACCACTCATAATTTGCATGAGTATATAACCATTCAATAGAAGACCAAAGTTTAAAAGATGATGTTTTTATTTGGATTAGTGAAACCACATAGAGAAATAAAATTTTCCTTTTTTTTCCTATGTATCCTTTAGTTATATTAACAGAGATTGGTCTCAGCTAAATGGTAACATACGCCAACGACTTAATTTTAAAATGTTGATGTATGTATCCCACACTAATAATTTTTTACCTATCCATAACAATCTCTTATCACTATGCTCTTATGTGCCGCAATCTCTTGGCACTTGCCCATTTAAGAAAGAGATTAGTGTTAAGAGATTAGTGTTAATCTAGGCTGTTAGAGCGAGGTGAATTCTCATTTTTCTTGATGGTTGAATGAGAGTCGCCAGTTATTTGTTCCAATGTTTGTTGTTACCAAAAAGGAGATGACAATGGCAAAATACTTAAGCGAGCACCATATCTATTTACCAATTTCTCATAAGTCTAATTATTGAATAATGTATAAGCCTAATTGTTCATTTATTAAAATCTATAAACTTTTTTTGCTCAATATAAATATTAACTTCCATCATATTACTGAAATACATAAATATAATATATTTAACATTAATATACTTGCATCAACCAAATCATATCATGATTCTGCATATGAACAAACCATCAATTCAGACTATTCAGTCTCGGTTCCTCTAGCCAATATTTAATCAAATGATCGAACGCTTGTTTATACTTAGAAACTAAAACCTAAAGCCAACAAGATACGTCAACATGAGATTCATATAGAAAAAAAAAATATCTCTTATAACATGAGAATTGAGATACAGACTAGCTAGTGGCAGGATTTAGTTGATCAGACACACAACAACAAAAAAAAATTAACTATCAACTATAAAACGAAGACTCCTGATAATCACATGGAAATACGTGACATATGAATTATTTGACTTGATAGATCGCTTCTAAGTTCTAACCCGTAATCGCATTACCACAAATATCGGCACATCGATATACATTTAATTGGGTCAATTGAACAAACTGGCCTTAAGCCCACAAATTCCACACCGATTTTATTAAATACTAAGAGAGAATCTGCGCATATGTGCAGATTTTGTTTTAATTTATATTTTAAATAATATATTTTAAGAATTTGTATTAAATTTTATGTTTACTATCAATGTTTTTACGTTTAAAATTTTTATATTTTCTTCGGGTTTTTCTTGATAATATATTATTTATAATTTTTTCTACACCAGTTATGTCAAATAGTCTATTTTTTCTTAAGATAATCAGAAACTAAAATCTATTATTTTATTTTTTGTATGAAAACGTAATAGTTCACTTAAAAATATACCTTAAATATCAGAGAGGAATATACATTTTTATTTTTTTGGTTAAATATTTTTGACTGATTCCATTTTTTATTTTTTTTTAAACCATGTATGACATTTTTGTGTTGATTAACCATGTAATTACATTTTTGTCATTATTCTACAAAACGATGCAAACTACAAAAATGCATGTGCGTCAATTATTTTATGTGATACAAGTATTGCAATCATTTTTGAAAACTGATACTAATATTAAAATCAATTAAGTACAAATGATATAAAAATAACATCAGTTGTTTATAAATGATATAAATGTTAGCATCAATTATTGAGAAATGATATATACATTGACATCAGTTACTATAACCGAATAAATGTTAGCATCAGTCATTAAGAAATGATATATACAATGACATCAGTTACTATAACCGAAGCAAATATTAGCATCAATTATATTAATTGATGTAAATGTAACATCATTTCTTATAATTGATACATATTAACATTGATTATTAAAATTGATGTAAATTTTTTTATAATTGATGCAAATTATTTGCATCATCACTTTCAGAATCATTTATTTAAGTGATCTAATTTTTTTTGCATCATATATAACTAATACAAATATAGAAAATAAGTGATGTAAATGCCTTTTTTTGTAGTGATTCCATCTTTTTACTATTATTTTTAAATAATTTTTATTCATTTATTAAACATTCTTTGTGTTTTATAATTTTATTAGTTGTAATTTTATATAATTTTATTTTAAACTTCTTAACTTATACGGTCACAATATTTTTTTCACTTGAATTAAAATTTAATTATATTTTTAGTTTAAAAATAAAATTTAAATTACTTGAAAAAAAGAAAATAGAATAATGCATTTAAAAGTTTTGTATTATACATTATTTATAAGTTTTTATATATTAAAAGTAGTTTTAAATTTATTCTAATATATATACATGTATATATTAATATTTATTTATGTTTTTAATTTAATTACTTTAAATTTTATTAATTATTTATTTTATTAAAAATGGGACATGTGTCAATTTTTCCCATGCTAACGTGGCGATAATTATATATAAAATAAGAAAAAACCCTAGTAATAGTATGCACTAAATCATTGATCTTGTAGCAACTTTAACTCAGACTTGCATACTATCCTATGCATTTAATATAATCTAACACTTCGCTCATTCAGTTATCCTATCCTACGCATTTAATATAAAACAATTCTTATTGACAATAGCAATTTAAGCTAACTTAGCCATTAAATTTTATTTTGCCTGCAAAACTAAGACTAAAAGTTATGAAGTTTCTAATTCAAATTCTAGTCATAACATTAGTTAATTGTTTTTTATTAAACTACATATAAAACGCTGAAGAGACTGATAATGACAAGAAATAAAAGTAAGAAGGGTGGTGGTGTGAGAATCAGATTCGATGTCAACTAATTGAAAGGGAGCATGCAGCTTTTTCTTCACAATTATATATTTTTTAGAAAAAGCTTTACCCATTTGCCATGCATTCACAAAGCATTCGAGATGGGATTTTTTGGTTCCAAAAATTTATGATTATTCGAGATGGAATAAAAATTTCACTGCAATTAGTAGTTAGCAAGAATATATCTCTCTCTTTCCTTCACTAGTAATTTACGATGAATAAACGACGGGTGATTTTCATGCATCTTAAATTTATTTTATTTTTCCTGTAACGAAAAATCAGCGATGTACTTTTAATATAACTATATAAGTACAGCAGATATTATTTTCTTTTTTCAAACTTCCATTTCTTTAAATAACGTACGTAAGTACCAATCCATCAGATCGAAAATGGTGAATAATTATGTCATTCTGGTTTGAAATCTTTTGAGAAACATTACTTTTACGGAATACGTTTTTCAAAATACCACTAATGAAAGTTGTTATCAAAATATCACTTCAATACAATGGCTTAAAAGTTTATAAATTTTATGCATAGACTACGTACCTTATATATTGTTCGACTAAAAAAACTACCTCATAAAACTATTTTAACTAAATCGTATACCATTCTATAACACACCTTATAATTTTATGAAATAATTTTAAATCCTTATTAATGTATGATACAATGCTTTGTTTCGTAAACTTAAGTTTAATTTGTTATTTTTTGTTCCAAATTTAAAGATTTGCATTTTTTGTTCTATATATTGTTATGATGAATATAATGACACATCCTTACTTTGATGCACTTATCTAATATACGAATATTGTTTTGTTTTTAATTTTAAAGCATGTATATGCTAACATCGCATATATCTCAGTTTAAAATCAAAAATACATATAAAATTTTTTTATTATAGATAAATGAATAAAAGTAAGCCTGTGTCATTCGTTTTTTTTTTAATTTTAAATATCGTTCTCTCTATAGAATATTTTAGAATTCCATTTTATGTACTTTTAACAAAAAAACATGTATATTATTTTTGGGTTTAGAATTTTTGTTGGCTTTATAACATAATTTCTGTTATGATACAAGATTTTGGGTTTTGTGTTTTGATATAGGAGTTTGGGTTTTGCTTTTAAATTTAGAGTTTATTGTTAATGAGTAGGGTTTTGCATTTTTATTTATGATTATGGTTTACACTTACACTATATTATTAAAGTTGGAATATGGTGAATGTAATTATTTTTGAATTAGATGTAAAATTGATTCAATCAAAAGGTATGTTTAAATCTTGTGCTTCGTTGTTTTGAATTTGAAATGAAAACATAAAGGTAAATCTATATAGCTATGATGAATGTAATTTTACTCTATAATATCTTGTTTAATGTGTTCTATATATAACGAACAGAATGGAGGTACATTATTTTTTTCATACTCAATGTCATTGGTGAATGAAGGACAAAGCCGTCCTCATAACATCATCGAAATGATTATTCTATAAAATTCAACTTCTATATAACTATATTCTTTTATATTAGACATGTAAATAGCTATAAGGCTAATTCACCCTAAAGTATTCCACCATGAAGTATCAAACGTTTGTGAATATAGAAATTAATTATTATTTCTACACACAATGCAGAACAATACGTAATTTATTGTATTTAGCTTCATCTACACAACTTAAATATTAAATTTCACTGTCCACATTGTGATTTAAGTTATAAATTCTTTTACTAAAGATTATTGTTTGTTTCTTTTATTTTTATGAAAGGCGAACCGATCAGCAGCACCTTTCAAATTTACTTCGGTTTTTATCTTCTTTACTCGGTTCCTCTCTCGATCCACCGCCGGCCTTATGTACTTTGTCAAATAAATTTTTAACTAGGTTACGTTTGGGCTTGATGTGGTCCAAAGGTCTTTTCTATCCGACAAAACGTTGGCTCAACAATGAAAATCTGGTTAAACCGATTAAAAGTTAAAATTGAAATGAATAAACATTAATTTTTAGTTAAAATTTTATAACAAACAATACTGTGGAAAGTTGCACAAAAAAATTAACATTGTGGACAAATAAAAATTATATGTAAGCTGTGTAGCTGAAGCGAAATAGCTGTCAAAAAAAAAAAAGATGAAGCGAAATAGCTGTAAAAAAAAAAAATGAAGCGAAATAGACTAAATTACGTAATGTGTGGAAATAATAATGAATTATCTATATTCTGATATACACACGTTTACTACTTCATAGGGGAATATTTTCTGTCACGTAATGCGCAAGGAAAACATTGTTAAATATTTGGTGTGATTTTGGACCTTCTGGTACTTGAATCATGTATGGGATTTTTTTTTTTAAATAACAATGTTATAAAATAATAATTACATGTTAGTTCTCATAATTTTTAATAAAATAATAGATCAGTGTTAACAAAATAATGATTACATGTATTTTTTATTTACTCAAATACCAAATACACACATTCGTCTAGTTAACGGTATCAAAGGAAAAGTAAACGGTGATGTTCAATTGGTGTTAGATTGACTAATATTATTTTTGATGCTAAAAAGGTGATTTGACTAACTGAGAATTTTATGAAAGTAACGGGGCACACACGAATTGGATGGTTTGCTCTTTTGTTTCCTACCATTTCTTTTTCTTCCACACTATATTATAAAAACACACACACAAGTCACAAGTATTTAAGATCACCATTAATAGTACTCATCCAAACATAATACTTTAGAGTTGAATATTGAATGGCAGCCAAATTGAAGAGCGTTCAAGTGACTGAGAAGCACATAGTTAACAGCTTTCGTTCACGCACTCTCTCACACATTGTCGCATCTGGTCTCTTTGCTTTTCGGTATCTATTCTTCGCTTTCGATAATTTTTTTCACTTATAGATGATATTTAAGGGAGAAAACTGTTAAAAATATATATATATTAATATGGTGTAAATTTCGTAATAGTTTGGCTTAGATCCAAATTAAAGCAAAAATAAGTGTTTATAAAAACAATCACAAAACCAAATAGTAATATGTGTTAGTAGTTTTCATTTGTTGATGAGTTACTACGTAAGTTCAGATCATGGATCAATTTCTTATGGAGCGCAAAATTACTTAGCTATTTCTATTTGGTTAGTCAAAATAGTGTCATGCTTTACATCCATTAGAAAATTCTGTGAATTACATTCACCTTAGAAGATTAACAGAATGATAAAAGCTCGAATCATCTCTGGTTTTAAAAAAATATTCACAAAAGTAAAATAAATAAATAAAACTTTATATGATTCCTTTTTATTTATTAGAGTCCCCTTTTTTGTTTGACAAAAAGGTAGGTTTGTTTTTGGAGATTTTTAATCCAAATGTCATATCTTAAACACCATTTGCAGATTACATTGGTACATATTTTTTTCATCAAAATTCAAATTGTTTTATAAGAAACCGAAAAGGAAAGAGGGTATTTGCCACACAAAAACAAAGGAAAAGAAAGATATGTGTATTTCTTAAATAGACACTATACAGTAAAACCTCTATAAATTAATATTCGATAAATTAATAATCACTATAAATTAATAAATTTTGTTGGTCCCAAATCGGGCCAATGTAAAAATCCATCAAATTCGATAAGATAATAAGATAATAATTTTTTTTGAAATCCTTATGTAAATTTATGGTCCCAACAAAAACATAAATTAATAATAATATAAATTTATGCAAATATATGTAAATATAATATTTTTTAAAAATAACTAATGTGTTTATTTTTATTTAAAGTTGAAATCTCATTGATTCTCATCTCTCTAATTATTATATCAGTAGCTTTTATTGCTCTTTTACTATATACATTCAACATTTATGATGATTTTTTGATGTGATAATTGATTTTCTTATCTTTAAGTGTTTTTAAATGTATTGTAGTGTTATCTTCAATTTTATCATCAGTAATACTGATAGTAGCCATGGTTTTTTATAAATTTTAAACTTATAAACATGTATATTTTTACATAGACAAATCCAATATGGTGTTAAAAACTATTTTATTGTGATAGTTATGATTCTTAATCATAATTTATATCATGAGATTTGTTAAAATTTTAAAATATAACATTATTACAAAGAATTTTTTTAGAAAATTATATGCGGAAAACAAATTTTCTCTATAAATTAATAATTATTAATTTATAGATAAATTAATATCACGATAAATTAATAAATTATCATAGTCCCAACATTATTAATTTACAGAGGTTTTATTGTAGTCGGATATGGCATATCCAATTGGATAATACCAAAGGTACAAAACCAATCTTCCATTCCTTACGTGATACATGTTCGTAATCAAACTAATCCTTCAGTCTTGGAAAGTGTCCGGACTTTTTTTCCTTGCGTTGCCTTAGTAAAAACTAAAAATATATTTGTATATGAAAAAATCAATACTATCGCTAAATAAACAAATGATTTCTCCTCTAGAGGCATTGCCAACAGGAATGGTCACACATGGACGTATAGTAAGAACGTAGAGGAAGAATTGCAATCGAGTAAAGTGCCTGATGAACTGATAAAGTCAGATTCTAACAAATATTGGTCTCCTCATCCTCAAACTGGTGTCTTTGGACCATCCTCCTCCTCCTCCATCACCGACACAAACGACAAGAATCGCAGCCAAGATCAGGACTCAGTGATGGATGTGAAAGCATGGTTCCGTGCAACGAGCCTCGAGGATTTGGACAAGACTTATTCATAGCAAGCAAAGTTCTTTCTTTATGTGTGTGTTTCTGAATGTTGTAATAAGTTTGAAGTAAAACTGTTATTAAGTTCCAATAACGAATAGAACGTCTGGTGTTATGATGTTTCAATGAATGTAACGCTTGTTTTCCTGTTTATGTTTTTTCCAAAATTATTTTATTTATTGTTAAAATTACTTGTATAAAAATAATGAATTCACTTTTCTATATAGCATCAGCAATACATTACATTCTCCTTTATATATAAACGAAACAGAAAGGAAAGATAATATTTCCACAATTTCTCTAACGGCTAAAGATCAAAGGCTATTTTATCAATATTAATCACAACTTACCAGATATTACATATTCCATATCAATCATATCTTCAACATATTAAAATGATTTAATGACAAAATATACATTTTTGATTTTCATTTACATGTTAGACTTTCTATACATAATAACAAGAATATAAAACCACGTACTCTTTTGAAACAAGAGAAGCACACCGCAAGGGTGTTTAAGACAGAACAAAAACCATGAAATCACAAACAACTCTCATCTGCATGCTCATCATGCTCTCCCTCTTTGCTTTACATCAATGTATGTATTCGTGTTTTCTCATTTATTTATGTCTCTTTGTTTTTCTCGTTGTTAATATTTGGTTGATGTGTTGTTTTTAACTGTGAAGGAGCGAGGGTGGATGTTGGAGAAATAGAGAAACCAAGCAAAATCGTATTATCGCTGTGTTCTCATAACTCATGTTCCGCTGGGTTGAAAAGAGATTGTTGGTGTTGTATGAGCAAAAGTGACTTTCCTTGCTGGCCAGACCAAGCCCAATGTGAAGCCAATTGTCATCCTAGACTTTGATAAAATTAAATGTACCGTTATGACAATTTTTTAAGTTATTTAAATCTCATGTATTAGAAATTAGAAGTTGTTAACTTAAAAATGTTTAAAATAATTTTATCCAAATTATTCTTATTTTATGTTTTATTATGAATTTGAAGCGTAGAAACCAATATGATATAATTAGGGATTAATTTAGATAAATTATTTTAAAATGAAGAGATTGTTTTGGTGTTTAGAAGAAGATGAAGTGGAACGATGCAAAGTGGCAGTGTTAGCCAAAACAAAAGAAATCCCTAATTGAAGCGATGTTGTTTCAATGTAATGTGTTTCATATATTACACTTTCTTTTCTTTTCTTTTTTTTTGCATTTGAATCGAAGTAACCAACTTATCCAGTAAACTTATTATCCTAATCAAGAAATCTGCTTTTACGGTATGTAATTTTAGCACTTCTTTTATTTTTAAAAGGCAATGAAATTTTTAAGAATGTCGTAGAACCAGGCGATTGCTTCATCGCGATCACTTAATTTTGATATTTTCAAGAGTGTCTTGTCAAATTTTCATCTCAATTTGGACAACTATTAACAATTTTCAATATAATTAGATGACGAAATATGCAAAAACAAGAAAAAACGTCATTTGTAGTTCATTTCACATCAAAGATAAAACAAAGGTAAAAATATTATTCTTCATTGCTTTTAGTAGTTAATCTAAAACATTTAAAGGTTAATCTGAGCTTCATTAATTCAAATCCTAAGAACTATATCTAACATAAAAGAGAGATGACTTTTTTTAATAGAATGATAACTTAATTAGATATGCACTGGGAAAGCGGCTTATTCGTGCCTCACTGGTCGAATTGGTACCATTTGCTACCTGTACTTTTGAGCTGTGTCTACACATACCTCAACTTTTAAAATTTTGAATTTTCATGTTTGTACTTCAATTTGTTTGGCTAATTCATGCATTGATTAATTCTCCGTTAGTCAACAGGGCCGTCGGTCCCTTG